CATCAAAATATTTGCTAAAACTCAACTCAGAACGTGGCTCATTTTAGCTGAAATGTGTGGCCCAATTTACCTGAACACATTAAGGTAAATTGGGCCACTAACAAAAAATGCTTTTTCATCAAAAATAATTTTATTTAGCAAAACATTAGCATTATATCTGATGGAGGCCATCAGGACATGTATTATACATCATTATTTATATATGTACATTTGTTTTTTATTGAATTATCAACCTTATCATTGACAGTTAAGATTTGATATGTCAGGGCACTCACCATGCAGTTCTCTGGAGCAGTCTCAATATGAGGCTTTGCCCCACCCACCATAGCAACCATAGACCAAAGAAATCAATTGTTACATGTCAAGTACTGTTGCGGCAACACTTTGAAATCATTTGCATCCATTGGCTGTTAAAAGAGCCGAGATGCTCAAACCTTAAATGGCCCATTTTACCTGATGGCCCAATTTAGCTGATGTCACCCTATCTATTAGGCTACCATTCCACTCTGTAAATAGATTTTAAAATTTCAATATAATTTTAATATTATTTTTGCTTATTTCATTATTGTTATTAGAGATGAACTGCGCCTCGCCTCAGTGTTGCCAAGTCTGCTTATTATAAGCGACTTTGGGCTTGTTTTTCTGTAAAGTCGCTTACAAATATTGGTAGTCGCGGGTCACGTTTTTTTTGGGCTTGTCTCTAAAGCGTAGTTGCTTATTTGGGCTTGTTCCCAGCTCCATAATAAGTTGTCAAGCAGATATTTTCGATATGTTATTTAAACATAGGATAGTTTGTCTTGCCTGTTCCCTCTGTCCCTCCCCTTTCCCCATACACACAGGAGACAGCAGAGTTTTTTTCCCACCCGCATCCTGCTTCTAACTGGCTCTGACTCTGATGGCAACGAGTACCAGCCAATCAGAGGCAGAGCAGGGTAATGTGTTTTTTTCTGGTTAGGAAAACATCAGAAGATGAGTGCATAAAAAGCAATAATAAAGAAAAAAATTATGAATTCAGGATGATATTTATTTGTGTGTGCAAATTTCAATTATCAGAGGTTTACTGTGTATATAATGTACTTGGTACATCAGTCTATATTTGATATCCCATCTGTTTTCTAATGTTAAATAATGTTAAAAGGTGGTTTAACTCCCTCTTGTAGTTATTGTCCTGAAGCTCAGGGGGGAGAAAAATAAATAAACTGTGTACCGTGGGTGCAGTTTTGCAAAACTGTGCACAGTTTACCAATCTGTCCACATGGATGTAAATTGACAATCTGTACCACAGTTTAAAATCCGCCCCCACAGATTGTAAAACCGTGCACACAGTTTATTTAATTTTCTCTCACAGGAACCTAGGGGGGCTCTGTAGAAAAAGTCGCTTGTTTTGGGCTTGTTTTCACAGGCCTGGTTGCTTATTTGTCTTGCGAGATCTGGCGACACTAGGTTCGTTCGAGATGAGCCAGGCCTGCGCAGATTCGATCACCGGAGATCGGCGCACAATGCATGCCGGTTAGTTTTGTGTCCGACTTCATCTCAACTTGCTCTGACGTATTACAAAAGTGGATGGCGATAAAGCCGCGAGAGCGAGGTGGCCGCAGTTTTTAGAGACAGGCGCTGCAGTTGCTCTCCACCGACTGCACCGCCTGACTCTCACCTGATCTAACAGCTGACTGGTTCAGATGTTGACTCAACAAGATGACGTTTTAGATAAACTATTCATTTTTGTTGAATTCTAGAGATTAAGATTGTAGGCTATTTGTCTGACCTGAAGGTTTATTCTGTGAACAGAAAACATGTTGTGTGACTGATGGCGAGAACAAACTGATATATGGGTCTGATCACTTTTTTAATGAATTAACATCATTCCAGACAGGATGTAAGTGTGTCTGTGACTTCCTGTACGGACTGAAGGCTGCTGGAAACTGTCGGGAAACTGTCCGACTTCACCGCGGCTCTTTGTCACCGCCCCCCGCTGCGGCCGCCTGCTCTCGTCTACTTTCCAGGCGAGGCGCAGTTCATCTCGAACGAGCCTACTGCCTCGCCTGAAAAGTAGACGAGAGCAGGCGGCCGCAGCGGGGGGCGGTGACAAAAAGCTGCGGTGAAGTCGGACAGTTTCCCGACAGTTTCCTGGAGCATTCAGTCCGTACAGGAAGTCACAGATATCAAATGGAGGATAAACCATGAACATAAACTACAGATCACCTGTAAAGCATTTTGTAACTGTCTGAGAGACAGTTTTGCAGAGATTTCATTGGAGTGTTTCTTTTATATTTTCAGTAAAAATTAATCAATGTTTGAATTCATACAATCATTAAAATGTGTTAAAATGTAATAAATAAGTTGTTTAAAAAGGGTAACTTTAATTGAAAACTGGACTAAAATACACTACCTTAAAAATAATGTTTGATTAAAAATCCAATGCCTTTGAATGCAAGTTTCATTTTGAAGTTGAATGTCACAGGCCAAATGAACAGAGTTTTGTGAAGGGCACACCTGATGCATCATGGGTCAGGAAACAATAGGCAGCAGAGAAAGAGACAACATGCCTGCAGAGAAAAGAGCCAAGTGTGGCTGCAGAGGAACAGAGTGCTACGGCCTAAATTAACATTATTCTGCATGGTTCAAGAGGCGCACACGGTGATGTACCTTTAATTGTGTCATATTTGTGCATAATGTTGAAATGCCTTTATACTTTTGATATTTTCTGTTGCTGTGTTTACGGACTGGGATCTGTCTATTAACAGATGTTAGCATGATACACTTAATTGTTTGGGCCTGTCTAATTATAGACACTTGCTAAAGAGACTATAAAATGACTGACAGATGTAGATTTTGACTCATTGATTTTTATATGTTTTATTTTTTGTAGTTTTCACGGTGTCTGATGAAGGAAAGGCGGCAATAAATCAGAAAAAGACATCTGTATGATGCGTGGCCATTATTTATTGGACCGGTGCAGTTACACATTTTAATAAATAAATCTATCATAATTAAAACAACTGGAGACTGAAAACAAACTGATATATGGGTCTGATAACTTTTTTAATGAATTGACATCATTCCAGACAGGATGTTAGTGTGTCTGTGACTTCCTGTACGGACTGAAGGCTGCTGGAAACTGTCGGGAAACTGTCCGACTTCACCACAGCTTTTTGTCACCGCCCCCCCGCTGCGGCCGCCTGCTCTCATCTACTTTTCAGGCGAGGCGCAGTTCATCTTGAACGAGCCAATTGTCTATGGTCTATGGATCAAGGCCAGCACTTCTTCCTAGTCTGGGGCCGTTAGTGGCCGTTTTGGTAAGGAAACGGAACCAGGGCGAGTGAGACAGGATCCGGAATTCGATGGATGTGCCTTTCCGTAAAAATAAAAGCACCAAGCTAATAAAAATGCGGTGAAACTTTTAATATAAAGAATATAATTTACAAGAAAAGCCCCAAGGCATTAAGTTAATCGATTTTCTTACACCCCTCATCAGCCCAAATCAATGGTGCACCAGAATTTAAAGTTTTACTATGGTGAACACTTTTAGTTTGGTGAATTTGGTGAATACCGCATCCGCTCCCTAGACCGGAACCAGAATCAAGACAAAATTCAGAGTGAATAGACACGAGGCTCTTCGCTTGAAGAGCCTGGTGACGCAAGGCTAACTTCTTCCTATGTGCTCAAAAACGTAGGTGCTGATTCGCCGAAGAGGAGTCCTGTGTATCTGCGCTCGGTTGCTCTTCCTTCATCCTCAAACTAACCGGATGTCTGTCACAGTAAACTGAAACTGAACTGTGAGAACTGAATTTGAAGACATATAGAAATAAATTCAATTTCAAATTATACTATTCAGATTCAGTTTTTCAATGCAATGATTCAAATTAAACAACACAATTTCAAATTATGTGACTCAAATTCAGTTTTTCAATGCTATTATTTAAGTTTAGAAATTCAAATTAAAATATAAATGATTCAAATTTAGTTTCTGGTGGCACATATTTCAGCCCATAGTCGACTAGCAAACAAGAATAATATAACGGATAATTAATAACCAATAACAAAGGCAGAAGAATAAACACTGGGACTGGGTCCCTGAACACCCGTGCGCACACCACCACTCACACAGCTAGGGTCTGTGCTGCATGCTGCCGGAAAGGCCCACTAGCAACCAGCTCCAGCTTTCCAGGGTGGTTTTAATCACAGCTGTGATAGGCCACAGCTGTGTTAATTAGTGGAGGGAGGAGGGGGGCGGTACCTGGCCAGAGAGAAAACACAAAACACAACACGGCACATAACAATATCAAATATCTAGTACAGCTGAACTATCATGTTATTATTATTATTATTATTATTATTGGTGGGAAATTATAACAGAGTTAAACAGAACACTTCAGTGTTTTTCTGTGTATACAGGACGTTGTTGAATCAGGGAATCCGCATGACCACCATGACAAAGGATCCTAATTGACTTTACATTGGCATTGTTTCCGTGGTACCGGCACGTAATTTCAGTGTAATGGATTGAAATTACGGAGTGCGGTGTTAAGAGGTTGTGGTCATTTCATGCATTTCTGTGAGATCAGGTTGATGAAAACTGTCTGTGGGAAAAATATGATGCTACAACTGGCAGCTGGTTAGCTTAGCCTAGCATAAAGACTAGGAAACAGGTGCAAACAGCTAGTTATAGCCTAACTCTGTCCAACTCCATAAAACTTCAACTATGTCTGCATAAAACCACATATTGGTGTATGATATTTTTAGCTTTGAAGAAACAGATCAGCATCAGCTGTTTGCCACTGTTTTTATGGCAAGCCGGCTAGCCGGCCATTGTCTGCGTAGCTTTGTTCTACACAGTAGCCTACATTACATTTATCCCATGAGTAAAGCTTGGCAAAAAATGTAAACAAATGTGTATCTTAAAATGTCAAACTATACTAAGTTTTATATTTTTCTTTCTTTTAAAATCTTCCTTAGAGATTTTTAGGGCTGTGTGTACATGCTGTGAAACAACAATGGCACCAAGAAATCAAATCTTTATTAGATTAGAAGACAGCAGAGATTGCTGCCAAAGGCATTGCTAATTATTTTTAATGTATTAAAAAACAGCAGAAATAAAACACCTTAGTTAGTGGAAAAATAAAACAGGAACAAGTGCCAGTGTAAAGATATCTGCGTAGAAGGTAGCAGTGCATCGTCTTCATCTTTGCTGTTCAGGGTCTTCACAGGACTGTGCAATTTATTCCTCTCTGTGGAGAGAAACGGTTAATTTTAGCTTTAAAAATTCCATATTATTGCAATTTAAATGTCCTCTGCTGAATTTGATTTGTCAAACACAATAAAACCTAAACCCATAAAAGGACAATTTTATTCAGAGTTCCTTGGGAGGCTGGGTATATTCTAGATCTCACCTTACAAAGTGTTATCAAATGACCATAGTTAATAGTAATAAGACTAAACACAAAAAAAAAGAAAGAAAACATAAATATAAAGACACAAAAATCTGCATGGACATTATTTTCTTGATATGTTTCTTTCAGTTGTAAATTGCAAAGTAAGAGTGTGTTCTCCAGACTTACTGTATTTAACCTCTGGAGTCGTTGTGGGAGCCAGTTGGCATCTGGGTCCACGCAATAGCAATGGCCACTGTTACCCTTCAAACTATAAGGTAGAAAGACAACACGTTTTTTTCATACATAATCATTGAGCCTGAGCCATGAAAACCCTTAGTAGCACTACAAGAATAGTAGCCTGAGACATTTTGGGTAAACCACTTATTTACTTTCATGCAGAGAATTTGACATACAGTTGTTGCAGAACATAACTCAACATAAAACCTCAACTTGGTGTTTTTTAACATCAGATTAGATAAGATGAGAATTGAGAGACCAACAAGTTTTTGTCATACATAGCCAATGCGCCCTAAGCCATGAACAGTAAAAGCTGTAGAAGATAGTAAGACATTTTGGGAAATCCCATTATTGGCTCTCATGCTGTGAGTTAGATGAAATTATTAATAGGCCTCTACCACCCACATGTCTGTGCATTACTGTAAATATGGAGCTCAGTCATACATAAACAGAAATGTAGAAATGACTTTTTTTTTTTTTTATTTTAGAGGAAGTTACACTGTGTAGCAATTTCTTAAAGAGCCACACCAGTTTGGTAACTTATTCATTTGGCGTCCGAATAATCAGAATAATGAGCTCCCCACTGGATACATTTGCATTAACAACCCCTCAAGTCAGAACAACAACTTGGATAGTCGGGGAACATTTTGGTACATGACTTGCGAGTTGACATCATATCACACAGGAACATGGTGGATGAAAGTAAATGTTTGGCTGTTAAGAAACATTTTGTTAATTCAGGTATTGCATACTGATTTTTTGCTCACATTTATCGTAAAATGATATTTAGGATTGTAACTGTTAGTTGTTTTCCAAGTAGAGTGATCTAGATAGAAAAATGATTTATAAGCATTAGCCCTGATAAGAAGTCAGGTATCATATCAGGTATATGGGTTTTTCATAACCCAGCTCTGTTTGGTTCACCAGAGAGGGTCAGCAGAGCGAACTAACTTTTCACTAAAGTTACCCCCAGAGAGAATTAAACACCACAAGTCAAACACAGACAGAAAGTGAAGCGTGTGTGTGATCGAATACTTTAACTTACATGTATGCATGTCTTTTGCAGATAGAAAATGTGTCCATCTGTTCATAGCAAGCTTTGACAGGTTCCCTAATGCGGGCCGTTGAGACATTGTCACAGCAGATGAAATAGATGCCAATCAATTTCGAACCGGCAGCAGTGACCAAGGGTGAAGTGTTGGCACATTTAAGTGTCCCTACAATGCAAAACACACAGTGAGTGATAGAAATGTATACACAGCAATTTGCTTTCAAATCAATTTGTGCCTTAACACAGTATTATTTGCTGTATCACACTCAGTTTAGTGGCCTATCTTCACTAGTATTCAAGTCCCACTCACCTTGTGAAGGAAGGAAAAGCAGTGCAGTTACACACATGAAAGACAGTCCACAGCTGATGGAGAAATGCATTCTGGGCCCAAGACTGACACTGTGTCTCCGCACAGCAGAAATCTGGTTATAGTAAGTAATTAAGAGCCTCACTGGTCCAACACTTGTCAGTGAAGTAAACAGTGAAGGTCTGACTTCATGCCACTGGTATAAATAGAGATAATATGAGGAAACACACACCCTCTCAGAGAAAGAGGAACACAGTTGTCTTTTTAGTGGTTGCCAAATGATTTTGATTCCTTCCAATAGGGTTAAGCCAGAATCACCACCTTGCAGCTGTATGCCTCTGTGATCCAGCCAAGTTGCAGTTGCAGTTTACAGCCATGTCTTGCCAGACTCAGATGTAGTCATGACACAAGACAATGCTTCAAATATGAGTGTCGCTCCAAAGAAGCTTCAAATTCCAAAACTTGGATGATTCACACACATGTTCAACCCGGCAGCAGAGATGATCTATACAATTTGCACAGTTTCAAGATGGGCACCCAAGATGAGTGTCAACAATTCAGTATCTGACTTTGACCACCAAAATTTTATCAATTCATCGTTGAGTCCAAGTGGATGTTTGTGCCAAAGTTGAAGAAACTCCCTCAAGGCCTTCTTTAGATAACATGTACACCAGAATGAGATAGGTGCACGGTCACAGTGACCTTAACCTTTGACCACCAACATTAAATCAATTCAATGTTGAGTCCAAGTTAAGGTTTGTGCCAAATCTGAAGAAATTCCCTAGATGTGTTTTTGAGATATTGTATTCATAAGTATGAGAAGGACAAGGACACAGTGACCTCAACCTTTGACCTAAAACCATGAAAATCTAGTCTGTTCAACGTTGAGTCTAAAGACTAGTTCACATTACACGATTTTTACCATGATTTTGATGTCGCAGAGGATCATGAGAGCCACCTTGGTTCGGAGGTGAGTCGGCAGATAGTCTGTGACGAGTCCTCATGTGTGAACAAGCCCACGAGCAAGTCATCCCCTCGTCTGTGACTGGGACTGGATATCTGGCATGCTAGGAGGGACACAACCAGGAGGACGGAAGAAATGTGTGGAGGACAAGTCGCAGGGTTGCCACTTGCCAGGTCCGCTTATTAGCTGCGACTTTGGGCTTGTTTTTTCGTAAAGTCACTTACAAATATTGGTAGTCGGGTTGCGTTTTTTTGGGCTTGTTTCTAAAGTGGAGTCGCTTATTTGGGCTTGCTCTCTAAACGTCGCCTTTCTCTATATATCCGTCTCTTCTTTTGGGCTTGTTTCCATAGCCCTGGTTGCTTGTTTCTCTCCCAATATCTGGCAACACTGACAAGCCGGCAAGCAACAACAACAGTGGCGACATCCACAGGATCATGGGGAGCTCGTTGTGTTTGGACCCAGGCCCTAGAGGCAGATCTGATTCAACACTGGGAAGAATATCCATGCCTTTACGATGTGTCGTCTCCAAGTTAAAAAACGTAGTTTGGTGACGTCACCGTGTTATCTGGGGCTCTGTCGGCGAGGGCTCGGTGGAGAAATCTTGTGGTGTGCACACAGGTCATAACGCAGTTGGCGAGACTCCCGATGACAGAAACACATGTCGCCAGGTATGAGCACTCGCGACACAAAATCAGGGTGAAAATCGTGTAATGTGAACTAGGCTTAAGTGAAAGATTGAGCCAAATTTGAAGAAACTCCCTCAGGCTGTTTTTGAATTTTGTTCACGAGAATTGAACTGATGGACGAACAGACGCACGGGCAACCCGAAAACATGCGCCACAGCCGTCACTGGCATGGAGGCAAAAAAGGTATGACACAAAAAAATGTTTCATAGATTAAACCACAGATATGTTATATTGACATGTAGCCATCACTGTTTAAATGGAACCACAATTAATGCTGTGTTCGATTTATCTTGGAAGTCGGAGGTTGGAGCTGAGAATGACCTCACACCTGAGTCACGCCGTGTTTCAGAACAACAATTTGGAAAACCAGATGTTGTTAGCCTTACAAGTTCTAGGCACGTTGGCCATTGTTAGCAAGTAAATAACAAACAATATATTGCTGCAGCTTTCAATACTGTTGATGCGCGAAGCAGCCATTTTGGATTTTGAGGTCTGGGTTGCTGATTTACCTAGTCAGAAATCTGACCTCAGGGGGCGTTTCACTTGAAATTTCTGACTGGGAACTGCAAATGTAACGCACCATAACCCCTCATGTTTAAATCGTGTTTAAACTGAAGTACCAGTATTTATAACAAAGAAATATTTTTCTTTGCTACCATCTGTGTGGAAAGAATTTATTTGGTTTGAATTCCCATCCCTTTTTGTAAACAGATATTTTCCTCTACGTTTTGGCCTCTCATCTACACGAAAATAAAGATTTTCTAAAATGCTTCCCAAGGTGCAGATTTTTCAAAACGCCAGTTACTGTTAATCTGTGTGGATGTGTAAAACAGAGCACCTAGGAAATGATACCATTGTTCTTTGTTTAATGAGCATATGCTAGAAACTACAACAATGGCAAACTATCGGTATGCTAACGTTCTGTCAGCACTGCTTGGTCTAATGATTACTTTACAGCTAGTATTGCTGCACCGCTTCACAGATGAACTGAGGCACCTAATGTTTGTGCTCCACCTCAGCGTCTGCAGTTTAAAGGCTGCCAGAAACAACAGTTATGGATCAGGCCCAGTTGAACCAGCAGATGTTGGGACACTTTCAATGAGGAATGGAAGGAAACTTTCAAATGTCCAAAGCGTATCTTTGAGTGAGCTCCTTCACCCTTGTATCGAAGGGGAAGTAACAGTGATGAGATCTTCAGTAGTTGTTTTGAAAAAAGTATAGTTAGCCTGTACACTTTTCTACTGTGCAAGACTGCTGAAAACCACTAATGTCAGCGAGAGTTTGGAGTCGTTTTGTGGACAGATATTTTGTAAAATAAAGGTCACATGGTGTAGTGTAATGTGTGTTTGTTTTATGTGATTTGTTTCAAAGTTTTGTTACATGAGGTAGTTATTAACAGTGTCTCAGTGAAACAAAACCAGACAAGGGTAACCTAATGGTGTCAACAAATTGGGGACTGGAAACCTAACGGTGCCAACAAAAAGTCCACGTTTCACTGATTGAACCAGTTGCTCGGGTGAACTCCATACAAACTGGTTGGCTGTTAAGGGGAGAATAAAAAAGAAATATCTGTTATTTTAATTTAATTTTATAGATAAATAAAATAAGTGATAAGTATAGTCTCATAAATGAATAGAATAAGCAATAAAATTATAAATAAATTATAAATGATAAGTAGCTTTAGTTTATATGTATAGTTTTATAATAAATAAAATAAGTAATAAAATAAAGAAAAAGAAGTTGAGATCAAGCTGTTAAGAGTTGGATGGAAGAGGGTGACAGCAGTAGTAATGAAATTTGGGCTGAAGAATATTGCATGACTGATGGTTCAGTGGACACTAGAGGCATAAAAAACACATTTTGGGTTGGAAAGAAGCTACATAGACAGCGAAGGGGGTGAGCAGATAGAGAGAATCAAACTAAGCTGTTAAATAAATCAAGTACACGGGCTCGCTGCTGCAACATTGGGAGATCAAATTAGGCTGACTTCACTGGTACAACATCGTGGACCAGAGATAACACAAATAGGGAGAGTAATAAGGCAAACACATACATTTCACCAGTGACAGGTTAAGAGGTGAGGTTATACATAACTCACAGAACACCTGAAATAGATGGAAGAGGGAAATGAAGGGAGAGTGAGAATAAGACGCAAGAACCAGGTCAGTATGATGCAGAAGAGGAAGCAGACGACGAGGGAGATCAGATATGGTCAGACACAGACTCAAGGGAAGAATACGAGGAGAGAGCAGTGAAGCTTACAGGATTAATGAAGTCATATACAATGCCATCAGAAAAAGGCAGAGAAGGATAGTACAGAGTCAGCACAGGTTCAGCTGTTAAAACTCCAATTGGAAGATGCACGACGTAAAACCAACGATGAAAAAAAAAAAAAAAGCAGAGAAAAAATCAACCAATCAGATGGTTCGGCAGCTTCCGCCCTTCCCCATACACACTCCAGATCTATTTCCGACCCCAGAGTGGGTTGATCCTCGCCCTCCCCATTGGAGTGGCTCGAGAAGAGGTACAGGAGGATTCAGAGGCAGGGGTGGGGGTCGTGGCGGCCCAAGAGGGGGTCAGGGCGGTAGAGGGTGTTTTATTTGTGGAGCCACCTTGAATCTCCCTGTGTCTAAACACCAAATATCATCCTCAGCAGTTGAACTAACTGGGTTCTCGGGACAACCACAAAATCTGCCGCTCACCAAACCACTCACTACCACCATACTCCAGGCTGAACAGACATTTTCACGCAGATATGTTTCTTCTTTGTCATGCCCTGTGAATCTATTGGGGAGAGATGTGCTGCTGAAGTGTGGAGCTTCCATACTCTGCACCCGGATGGGCTGATAGTGACCTTCCCAAATGGCTACACTGTGAACTGCTCGTTAACAACTGTGCATTCCTCCTCGCAAATGTTGTTATCAGCGGATACCTCCCCCATGGCTGAAGGACATTGAGCTGATATCTACTGGGGCCTTCTCGAGCCAGAAACCATGGAGACGCCTGGCATTGGCACTCTCTATCAGTCTTGGCGTCCCTGGGTTCAGTCATTAAATCCCTACACGCCTCCTCTCGATCCCCTCCATGTAACTCTTTATTATGACAGGAATGGCAACGAGTTGTATCAACAGGCATTTTATAATGAGATAGAAGGGAAATGTGGGAGATAACATCCACCTGCATACTGGTGGGAAATGGGGGAGTGGCTGCAGCTGTTGAACTGACCTCAGAGCAATTGCAGTGGTATGAGGCGGCGGAGGAAGCCTCCCCTCACATATCTTTGGCAGTACATCAAACATCAAGCCAAAGACTTGGGCCCTATGTGTAAAAAACATTATTCACAGATGGATGTTGTTTTAGACATCCAACGGAGGGACTGAAAGCAGCATATGCAGTGGTAAGACAGACAGAGACAGGGTTTGAGGAAGTGATTACAGAAAGTGTAACAGGAAAAGAATCATCTCAATTGGCTGAACTCCAAGCAATGATTGCAGCATTAGAATGGGCTGAAGGGAAAAGAGTGAACATCTACACAGACTCTGCCTATGTCGTAGGAGCGATCCATGTGGAAATGACACAGTGGATCAGATCTGGCTTTTTAACAGCAGCAAAGACCCCCATTAAGCATGAGAAGGACATGAGGAGACTACGGGAGGCTCTGATGAAGCCGGCACAGGTAGCAGTGATTAAGTGCAAGGGTCACGACAAAGCAGGGACAGTTGTCTCCAGAGGGAATGACGCAGCAGATGTGGCAGCCAAAAGAAAGGCAGGATACAGTCAGCAGTATGTAATGCTACAAACAGAGAGAACAGTGCATGACCTCCTGCCGCCCTGTGATGTAAATATGTTAATAGCAGAACAGCAGAAAGCCTCTCCAGAGGAGCTCACAGTATGGAGAGAAAGAGGAGCAGTAAAGACAGAGGGTATGTGGGGGTCTCCAGACGGGAGACCTGCACTGCCCCCAGGGCTGAGGAGATCAGTCCTTCAAGAAGCTCATGGTGTGACTCACTGTCGGAAAACGCAAATGGCGCGATATCTCACTCATTGGTGGCACCCGTTTTTGCCAGCGGTGATTGAGAATCGCATCCAAGAATGTAAGATATATACAGAATACAATGTTAGACCCGCGGTGAAACCACATCAGGGGAGATTTCCCCTCCCCAAACTCCCAGGTCAAGAGGTCATTAATGACTATACAGACATGCTAGAGAGAGTGGGAGGATACAGGTGTCTTCTGGTGGCAGTGGATGCATACACTGGTTGGCCAGAAGCCATACCTGCCAAATCAGAGGATGCAAAGACAGTAATCAAATTTCTGATCAATCAATACATTTCCACGCATGGGTTTCCCGAAAGAATCAGATCCGACAATGGAACCCATTCCAAAAACAGAGATCTACAAGAAGTAGAGAGAGCATTGGGACTAAAACACACATTTGGCACAGTCTACCACCCTCAATCACAGGGAGCTGTAGAAAGAGCAAATGGTATTTTAAAAACCAAAATAGCAAAAATAGTAGTAGATAGTGGAAATAAGCTTAATTGGGTGGATGCTTTACCGCTTGCACTAATGTCTATGCGTTCACAAGCCAGCCGAGTCACGCATCTAACACCGCATGAAATGCTTACGAGCCGGCTCATGCCGCTACCATACTTAAGAGGTCCCCATGAGGGACCGTCCCTGGAACAATTACAAGGCGAAATGTTTGACTATTTACGAAGTCTAACCCGTATCCATAGGGCTATCTCCCAGCAGGTGAAAGGCACCACAGAGGACAGAAGGGTCGAAATCCCAGAAGACCTTCAACGCATACTTCCTGGAGAGTGGGTGTACGTCAAGGTGTTCAAAAGGAAGTGGGACCAGCCACGCAGAGAAGGTCCATACAAGGTCATATTAGCTACACCAACTGCCTTGAAAGTTGAAGGTAAGGACGTTTGGTTCCATCTTAACCACTGCTGCAGAGCTAACAACCCAGAGAGGGTGTCGACAGAGAGCACCTCAGAGGAAAACACCCCTTCCTCAGTCGCCACCTGGTAGCCACAGGGCTGAGGATGAGGGCCCAAGCGCAGAGAGAACAGAGAGAGGAGAGAGAGCAGAGGCAGAAAGAGAGCAGGGAGAAGAAAGCAGCAGCTCAGAAACAGGTGAAGATGGTAACCTGACTCAAGTTTACATACGTATGTAGACAGAGACCAACAAGTACAACATTCCAATTGGAACACTAAAAACCTCATCAATTCTTGATTGGTTAGAAAAGTTCTCTGTTGGAAAAATCTTACAGACTATAGGAGTAATATTTGGACTCGGCATCCTTCCCCTAGTACAGATCCTGATAAGAAGGGCCATGAGAACGGCCACGGGACAATTTATTATGCTGATACAACAGCAGGAAAAGCTCCCCGAGAAAGGCGAATTGTGGAAACTAGATAAACCGTGGGTAAGATCCTATGCATCCAAAAGATTGAACAACGATTTATATGAAACCATGATTGACAATACGGACGTATGTGAGAATATGGCTGACAATATAAACTTATATGAGCCAATGAAGGGGAACCTGGAAGGGGAATACGAGGTTGTATAGAGAGAGAGAGGGAGAGCCGATTCAGGGTAAGAAATAACCAAATAATTGGCAATAGATTCAGGAAAAACCTTGCTGTTACCAAACCCATACTAACAATCGACTGATTAACATATATAGGTTATCTATACCACAGGGCAATTAGGAGGAAAAGGAGGGAAGTGAATTGAACTAAACAATGTCCTTTCTAACACACAGATTGGTGCAGAGCATGGCCAGCATGTGGAGATCCCTGTATCCAAAGCAGCAGAATCCAGGGTTGGCCTACCAAGAGCGCCCAGCCATGTCAGAGGACCAGCCCCCATTTGAGCCCAGGCTAGGGATGACCTACAGCGGCAACTGGTCAACCACCACGTGCTGCAACGGAAGATTGAGATGCTGAGGGGATCAGGTGGCGTCCTACCGGCGCCTGCGGATGACTGGTACATCCGCCTATGTGCCCGACGGACAGTAACTTGGCAGCATTAACAGCAAAGATAACTATGTACCTTGCTTACTGTACCCGGTATATGTGAAGTTATCATGTATTCACTGAAGAAAATACCAGTAACGACTGTAGTCACAACCACTGTATAAGAATGTCATTATGATTAATCATGCAACAAGAAAAACAAAGACATTATTAGGCTAGCTCTTATACTCTATATACATACGAATTATTCGAGGTGATAATCATGAATTGTGTGTGATACCTACGGATGACAAAATGTGTGACAGATACTGCTGATAATCAATGAAGTATGACTTATGTGCAGCTCTACTGATGTTGATCACTGGAAAATGATTCGTGTGTGATAATAGCCAATCTAAATCTTAATGGTATGGGACTATGAAGTCCCAAAGGGGGGATATATATATTTTCTCCCCCTTGCTGTGATTTAAGATATTATATGGGACTATGGAGCCCCAAAGGGGGGAATGTAGTGTAATGTACTGATTTACTGAAGACATATACTGTACCTTTTAGCTGACCTTTAAAAGATATGTGTTGAAGCAATATAATCTGTGCAACTGACAAATTACACACTGGTTTAATATTTCATGTATTCTTATGACACACACACACACTCATTGAGCACTTAAGCATTGTGGTGGAGAAGTACCTAGGACTCACTGTGAATCATTTCTAAAAATAGCATGAGGATGGGTTCAGAAAACACTAGTGGAAAATTAGGGGAATTACAGCTTGTCCTGAGAATGACCCTAGTAAGAGGAGGCGGTCTTAGATCTAGGAAAAACATTACTCAGCAGAAATATGACACCATTATGGTGGAGAAAAAGTGACTCAGCAGAGGTGGGATATGTTACGATCAGAGCCAAGTGAGAAGGATTAAGGGAAAGAGATGACTCAGCAGAAATTCTACGATAAAAGAGCGAGCGCAAACAAAGAAATTCCAGCCTTGCTCCGGAGCTTGGCTCATTTGGGTTGTGATGTGTTTGTTGCCTGCGAGCACATTAAACTCAGTTGCATCTGATTCTACGTGTCTCCAGTGATTTTTTTGACCTCTGAGTATTTGAGTTTTTGATATCTAATGGAAGATAAAGAAAGTCCGTTTGAGAGGGGAAGAGCGAGGTCGCGAGCTAACTGGCCCGGCTCGGGACCTTGACTTTTTTGCTTCTACAATGGACAGAATTTTTTTCTAAAATGGAGGGGAAAATATCTGTTTTCAAAAATATGATGTGATATATGTGAGAACAGGACCAAAGATCAAGCCATGTGTAATACTCCAACTAATGAGAGATTAGGCTGAAAGTCGTCTTGATCTCAGTTCGGCAAAAACAGTGCTGAGATTCCAGTCAACATTCACATGATTGAAGTTTTGAAAACTCAATTTCCTTTCTTTTCACAGGTGTTTTGAACCTGCCTATGCCCTATACTCTCTTGTCCAACTCAGAGTAGTGAGTTATTCTTTCATATAATATCATATATTATCTGAATATTCAGTAATATGACAGTGTGAGAAGGTTTGACTGCTCTGCAAAGAGCTGCAAAGTCCCTCTTCCACTAGTGTAAAGTGTTAGCTGTTAAATTGAAAAGGCGAACGGGTATAGGCTATGGCCGTTATGATTTACATGCTACATAAACACCAGGGAAAAAAAAAACAGTACGTACAATATATTCTATACATGTAGATTTAATTCCTCATGTGTCCAGCAGAGGGTGATCTAGTCACAGCCTCGCTATGCAAAGATTTCCCATGATCCCAGTCATGGCTGTATTCCTCATTCTTCTGTCCAATCCATCTGTTACCATCCAGTTTGATAAAGATTTTGGACATAGGTCTCAGCCAAATGACAAATCAGTGTTCCGAGTCTGTGCCGGATGAAATTAAACTATCGATGCAACTGAGAGCTGAGGTGCAGACAATCTTCAGGTGGAAATAAACGTCATGTCTGCCCAGTAAACTCCCACCTGTTTTGCTTTTTTAGCTTTTAAGGGACACAACCAGGCTAGCCTTTTCCCAGTTTTTATGCTAAGCTAAGCTAAGCTAACCGGCCATTGGCTGTATAGCTTCATATTTATCCTACTGTACATACATCAGAGTAACTCTTGAAGTGAATCGAGAAAGTGAATCAGTGTAGCTTATCAAATTGTCAACCTATTAAAGCTTTTATTACACCTTTTCTTAAAAATGTTCCAATTTTAAAACTTGAAGAGAGATTTTAAGGACTCTATGTACTACTATATGCTGTAAATACACTGATAGCACAAAGACAACACTTTGCAAAATGCTCTTTATTAGTTTAGAGGACAGTAAGATTCCTGTAAGTCATATCTTTGAATGTATTAAAAAAAAACAGAGAAAAATAATCATTTCATCTGTTAGTAGAAAATAACACCGCAAAAAGTGCCAGTGTTAATATATCCTGGCAATAGGTCATGGTCCATCATCTTCACGTCAGCAGTCGAGGTTCAGTGGCGGGGGTTGGCAAATTATTCCACGCTGCGGAAAGAAACAGTTAATTTTAGCTTGGAACATTTCCATATTATAGGAATTTAAATGTCTTCAGTTTATGCTGCATTTCATTCACAAAAATTCAGAGTTTCTAGTTGGAATCTGAAACCCCTCCCTACAATGTATCATCAAATGAACATCATTAATAGGAGTAAATACAAAGAAAATATAAGAGAACATGAATATGAAGTCACAAAAATCAGCACAGGCTTGATATTTTTTTGATATATATTTTTTCCAGCTGTCAGTTTCAAAGTAAAGGTATGTTCTCAAGACTTACTTCCTCTAATTTCTTGCGACGATCTGGGAGCCAGCTGGCGTTTGGGTCCACACAATAGCATCGCTTACTCTCAGAAACAAAACTGTACGGTTAAAAAGACAGAGAAGAGACCCCAAAAGGTTTTTTCAAACATAACCAATGTGCCCAAGTCAGGAAAACAGATACCAAACAGTAGCAATAAAAGAACAGTGAGACATCTTTGGAAATCCAAGAATGATACACCATTTTGCTGTAGCACGAAACTCCCTGTAAAACCTCAGCTTGGTGTTTTTACATTAGATAAATTTAACGTTTGGGTTCATGACCCAAAATGACACCAAAGTGATGAAATAGGTGAATACTAGATAACTTTTTCCTTCACATTATTTCTGGTTCCTCTGCTCATGATTGGCTTTACAGGGTGTGATCCCATACTTTTACTTACATGTACGAATGTATTTTACAATCAGCAAATGTGTCTTCCTTCTGTTCATAGCAGGCGTTGACAGTTTCCCTAACGGGGGCTGTCGAGACATTCAGACAGCAGGTGAAATGGATGCCTTCTCCATACAACTTGGTGGGTCTGATCGGAGGTGCAGGTGTGGCACATTGAAGCTGCCCTACGATGCAAAACAGAGACATTTAAGACAATGGAATGATGAAGGCTCTCATCAGCTATGTATAGTAGAGGTTTAATGACCTATCTTCACTGGTATTCAAAGCCACACTCACCTTGTGCAGGGAAGAAAAGCAGCACGGTCATAAAAGACAGTCCACAGCTAATGGAGAAAGGCATCCTGGGTCCAAGATTGACAGTGTGTCTCCCCACAGTAAAGATCTGGTAGCAGTAAATGTTGGTGTGTTATTCTGAGAACTAATTGCCAACACAGGTCAGAGTCAAAGACGAGGAATGGCCAAGCTCCGACTTCCCAGAGGAAAAATCCATGGTTATAAATGCAGCCTATATGAGAGGACACACACCCCTCGTTGCTCAATCTACAGACAGAGCAACACCAGTTATCTCTGAGACTGGATGCTCAGTTCTCCTCCCTAAAATGACGAGTTTACACTGAACTAAGTAAAGGTGTGATGTCACTGAGTCACTGAACTGACAGACAAAAAAGTTTTCCAGAGTCCAAACTATGAACTTTATTAACACGCCATGAGTTTAAACACACTCAGCCAGCTATATAAAATAGCACACACACACACAGGTCTCACTAAAACCACAAATTTCTGGATCGGGAGGTCACAGTGTGACACATACAAATCAGGTGGGTAAAAAAAAGAAAAGACATTCCTGATGGACCAGTGAGTCACACAATAACCTTGTGACCTCTTTATACAGTCAATGTAGAAATGACTGTCGTTTTGAGATTTCTGTAGAAGCAGACATGTACTGCTTACTGGTAGTAAAATCCCCCTCCTTTCAAAGATGGGTTTTTCCTATACTTAGGTTTCCTAAATGGCTGACCTTGATTATACTGACTTGTATCTGTGCAAAGTTTGTCACTGTTGAGGTGTTTCTACTGCTAAGAGGGTAAATGTATGTGGATTTCCCTAAAATCTGAGATAAAATGTTCGCCGAGTAAGCTAGATTAGGTATGTTACTAATATGAAAGCCAGTCACGGTCTAATTCAGAAACACATATCGACAGGGAACAGACTTCGACACTGGCAAAGAAACCTGAAACCTCCAGAAGACAGCACTTTTCAGTACAGAGAGCAGAGTTAGCATTAGCATAGCGAACGTTAGCATAGCAACAGTGCAGTTTTTGGATGTAAACTGGAGCCTGGAGCTTCCTTCCACTACCCACCAACACCCCCATCATAGCATTATTACTGTTATTCACAAACACTAACACTATGTCAGCCACTGCCAGTTAGCCTACAAGCTAATGAGCAACATAAAAAAAGTTAAAGATGCTAACTACACTTCACATTCTAATACGTTTGCTAGTTGCTGATTTTGTCAGACTGAGGCCCAGACATGTATGGCTGAATTTCTCCAATGTTTCCTCTAACCAGAGGTCGGGTCAAGTCACTGTTTTACAAGTCACAAGTCAGTCTCAAGTCTGTGCACTCAAATCCTGGGTCAAGTCTAATGTCAAGACGGACAAGTCCTAAGAGTTTCGAGTCCCAAACAAGTCATAACGCGCTTTTCACCAAATTTAATGCCATTTTATAGGAGTAATGATAAGATTTACAAAAATCATAAATACTTTTTAAAAATTTTATTTACTATTTAAAACAAGTTTGTTCAAACAATGGCAACTGAACTTAATCAGAATAAAAGTAGTGCTGATACTTTTAACACTATTAACCACTACCGCAACAGAATTAATTCTCTGTGTTTCTGTCCTGTCTTGTATCTATCTCATCTTATACTGGAAAAATGTCTATAACTCCCCCCCTTATATTGCCCTGGGGGTACGTCTGCTCCCTCGAAGTCGGAGATTTGAACCATCAGTCGGAGACACCTCAGTCAACTGAGACTACTTCAAGTCAAGCAGGCTTTTTGTTTGCCACTCAGTGTGCTTTGAACTTCTTCAAAATCAGGGGTCGTTTTGGTCCCTGATTTGGCTGCGAGCTCTCTTCACTTTCAGGCTGCTACATACACAGAGGCAGTTGCCCGGAGGAGAGGCTTCGCTCAGTAAGGCTCCGAAATCACCTTATCTTTTGCCTTTTGCGAAGAAGTGTTGAATTTACAGCCTACAGAAACATAATATGAAACGGTCTCTGGCTTTTGTTTGATATAGTGTCGGGGGAAAAAAAATACTGTTTCAGTCATCCTTAGCGTGGTTAGCTTGTTTACTATATTACGTGAATGTCACTGTGACACTGAACATCCAGCTGTACCCTCTTCAAACCCTCAGACTCCTTACGGTTAAAAAAATAAAGGAGCGAAAAGCTGAACATGAATATTGAACAGCCAAATCTGATTTGGCCAGCATAATTCTATGTCAGGTGCAGCCCTACTTGAGTCCTTGGTGTTAAGGGTCAGGTCAAGGGTCAGGAAACAGGCAGGCAACATCTCTGCAGACCCCTCACACCCCGGACATAAACTGTTTAAACTCTTCCCCTCCGGTAGGCGCTACAGAGCACTGTTCGCCAATACTAGCCGTCACAAAGACAGTTTATTCCCCCAGGCTGTCACTCTGATGAACTCCCAATCTTTGCTCTATTCCCAATGTTTGACAACACACAAGTGCACTATTTACCTCACAGATGTATATTTGACGTATATTTAGGGCTTGTGAATATTACTTTACTGAATTATGAATTTAGTTTAGTGTAGTTCTACTTCCACTTTCTTTGTCTAATTTTGAGTACTTAATGTCAATACTGGTACACCGAGAGCAAAGTTTACCAAAGTCAAATTCCTTGTATGTGCACACGTACTTGGCCAATAAAGCTGATTCTGATTCTGATTAAAGTCCAAGTCGAGTTGCAAGTCTTTTTTGATTTTGTCAAGTGGAGTCTGGCCTCATCCAATTTGTGACTCGAGTCCAAGCTATGTGACTTGAGTCCACACGTCTGCCTTTAACAGCAACGCTAGCCATCTTGATGTATACTGCTCTTTCACCAGTCTTGCAAGAGCAGCTCTGGAGAAAGTAAGCCAATTTTTCAATGAGGGACAAAGAGTAGATCTGCTTTCAGCACCTTTTCATCTTTTTATAACTGTTATGGGGTATGTTAAATACAATATAATATTATAAATATTGTTATTAATACAAGTAACATGTCTAAAAAGGGGGATTTTAACTTTACATGACTCACTTGTGTAGCTGCCTTTGTAATTGTGATTTCCTGTAAGAAGTCATGCTGGACCATCGGTCGCAAAAGAAGAGGAGGGTTACAGAAGAGACAGGTTTAAACTAGAGTACTGATTTAAACCTAAATTATGACCAGTAGCATCTTTTAAAATCAGTAACTCAGTCATAGTAATGCATTACACTGGACAGCACTAAAAGTGAATACCTGGGCTCTGCCAGATGGACTTCAGAGGACACTGATTGCCATATTGTACTGTGGGATTATTCTAAGACAGTTTTAAAGTCATTAGTCAACTTACTGGTTCAGTGGTAAGAACACAGACACTAGAATGAATCACGGGATCCCAGCAGATGATAGTATCTGATGATAACACACTGTGTGCGTTTCAGACCACCTATTTTTAGGCTCATTTTCAAACACAGGCTAAAATAAAATTTACTCTGGAATACAGTCATGATATTGGCGTCCATGTTCTCATCATTCAGTGGCGTATGATTGACCGTAATGTCCAGGTCAGCGGAGGAGGGGTTTCCGTTTCACTAGCGGGAAGAGTTGGAACTAGAGCGTGACCGGTGACGACGACGGCCAGGTGATCGTGACCTGCGACGCACTGGGGAGCGTCGCCGTGGAGACCGAGACCTGGGAGATAGAGAAAGAGAGCAAGACAGAGTGAGAAAACAGGCAGAAAAAAAAGTGACAGTGAAAGACAGAAAATGATCAGGAAGAACTAGCCTGGCATCGCAAGATTCACAAATCACATGTGCCCTTTTTTCTGGAACTTATGAGTTCATTTTTGATTTCCAAGGGGAGTGATTGACAGTTGCTCTTGCAGCGGATGCAATTGGACAGACCTACAACCAATCTGAGCAATATTAAACTACTACATAAAGTACTGTTAGAATAAAACTAAATAATGTAGTGTGACTTACAATAAATGTCAGGGGTGTAACGGTTCACAAATTTCACAGTTGGGTTGGATACAATATGACACAGTGATGTCATGGTATGGTATGTTTTTGATATCACAAAAAGAGTGGAAATGCCAGATGAATTTCCTTTATTTTATTTTTTATTTGTTTTATTTTTGTTCATTTATTCATGAAAACATCATAAAGTGTTTCCAAATTCCAGTTTCCAAATGTAACACGATAGCTCAAGTATCGTTCGGTTTGTAATGTGTACCGAATTGAAAGCCTTGAACCGAACAGTTCAATACAAATATGCATATTGTTACACCCCTGATAAATGACGCTGCACAATTAATGAAATTATTATTCAAATCACCACAGCTGCAATATTTTGATAAAGTTAAAATGTGTCATAAATTACTAGTATAGCATGTATTGTGGTGCTACAGAGATGCCCTGGCCTACAAATCATTTTTCAGACATAAGGGAACCTGCTTGTTTGGTACAGACCCCACTAAAAATATTCTTTTCTTTTTCCAGTGAAAATGAAATGATCATCCCCACTAAAATTGTGACTCATATCGCAATTGCAATATCTGTCAAAATATTTGCAATATGACTTTTTTGCATAATGTGCAGCCATAATAATAAAGTTAGAAAAGTAGTGTTATACTCAAGTTAAATGAAGGATTGTTTTAATGAAATAAATCAAAGTAAAACCCCTGGTGCTTTTATTCTGAAGCACCCAGCTCGTCTCAGACCAGGAGTATCAATTTTTTTTTGTCAACAGTTAGCTATTAGCAGTCACCAGAAAGTTACATCAGCACCATTAAATGTGAGGATTTATTCACTGTGAGCGGGAAACTAGCAGCTCTCAGTTTATATTTTAATAATAAAAGTGGTGCACCACAGGCACATCATACAACAAAATGATCACAGTCTGGAGCCCTGCAGACTTAATAACACACACCTCCCTTTGTGTCTGTAAGAGGGAGAGAGCCAAAACACCAAAGTGAGTCTTGTGGTGCCAGTGGCTTTAAGAAAAGAAGAAAGACTTTATACTCTATGTTCAAAATATAGTCATTTTATCCATCTCACTAGGAATTAGCCAGGATACATCAAGTATAACTGATATATTATCCACCCTTAAAACAGACAGAATCTGAATTTCATCAGAAAATTGAAAACAGTACTTTAACAGAAGGTTTTACATCAGCTGCAGCCATTTTGGTTGTTTTCAAAAATGCCTGCGCTCCTCTTTCTTCAGCTAGATTTATGCTCAGCATCACGTGTTAAGGCTCTGCGACTGTCAATCAATCATATCAAACTCACCCATATTAGATATACAGTTGTGACTGGGCCAGATATAAGTCTGTTTCAACAAGAGGGGGACTAGACTGACTTGTCAGATTTAATAAAACATGAGCTCACAGATTTGTCTGTTTACACCCCGTTTACCTTCTCCTCATTCGAGGTGGAGTGCGTCGCCACATTGGTGGTGGAAGCATCCTGCGTGGAGGCGACAGCCTGCGAGGGGGAGGGCGCACTGTAGGAGTCAGCACAGCCGTGACTGTGATCTCCTGACCGTCAATCTGACCTGACAGAGAAACATCCAAGAACATTTGGCATTTTAACAGAATTAAACATTAGTACCTAAACTTGAGACATTAGTTTAAGTGTCAAACACTCTTCCAGGCTCCAGTCTCATCTGAACTGTATTCATCCATGTTACGTAAAGGAGCAGTATGTAAGATTTAGGGGGATTTAGTGACATCGAGTGGTGAGAAATGCAGATGGCAACCAGCTAAAATCTCTCCCTGTAAGAATTCCTTCAGTGTTCATTGTTCAGGAGGTTTTTACCGGGGGCCAAATTATGCACAGAGGTCTCATCCACCCCAAAACAAACTATCTGCGTGATTAAAACTAGTAAAAACAACAACAACAAAAAAGCAGTGTCACATTACAAATCAGTGTTTCTCCTGCGTTGTTTGGCATGTCAGAGAAAGATAACTGGCCCAGCACCAGCTAATGTGCTGTCATCTTTTTTCTCTGATAACTGAAGATCATGACGTTCAGAGGGTTTTTACCAGGTGCTGAGTTGCCTGCTAAGGTCTCTTCTTCTCCAAAACAAACAGACCCCCTGATTTAAATAGATAAAAACACTAAATAAAGCAGATTCATGTTAAAACAAAAAAAAAAACCTGTGCTTTTCCAAAGCTGCTCTTCAAAGAGGAGGCTGGTGACTATGATGGCTGATGCAAATACACAAATGTAGAGGCGATGTGTGGTTTGTCTGTTCTGGGCTACCGTAGAAACACAGTGGTGTGCAACCAATGATCTCCGTGGACGAGAACCTGCTCCCTATGTAGATATAAACGTCTCTCTCTAAGGTCACAAAACACAACAATTCTTAATTCCAGGTGATATTACACTAAGGAAAACACACATTATATTATATTCATTATCTGCCAATTAATCCTACACACTGGACCTTTAACTGCTCTAACAGAATGTTATGCAATCTGTTCACTGTTAATCTTCCATGTTCATGTTCCTCCACATCCTCTCACCTCCGTCCATGTGCTTCAGGGCCTTCTCTGCCTCCTCGGGTGTCTCAAACTCTACGTAGGCGTAGCCTTTGGACAGGTGAGGGTGGACGCGGTGCATGGGCATGTCAATCATCTTAATCTTGCCGTAAGTAGAGAAGATCTCCTGGATGTGTTCCTTTAAAGACACAAAAAAAAATGCTTCGAGACACATTGATATAAACAGGATCCTTACTCTGTCTTTTTACTGTAGGTAGAACATATTTCAGCTCCTCGTATGAAAAGATAAACCAAATGAAAACAGCTTGAGGTAGATTTCAGTGGTAAAGCTTCAAAATGCTCCTATCTGAAAACTGTTCTTACCTGTACTACATTTTTTTCAAAATATTAAATATTCTTTTGCTGAGGATGATAAGAGTAATTACAACAAGCACACTTAATGATTTTCTGATAATCAGATAAAGGTGATAACATTATTGCATAACTTAAATAACAGAGCTGAGTTATTCATCAGTCTTTTGTAATTACTCATGCATGTAAGCACTGATTTCTTTCTGTTTTAATTATGCTCGTGTACAAACAAGGTAATGGAGCCTGCAAACACCACACAATGGATCCCCTGTCTCTTAATCTGCCTTATCTTATCCTGTGTCACTGTTTCCTGTTGGCTCAAATTCAAATATTCAGCTCCTACAAACTTAAAGGTAACCTCACTCCCCATTAGTATTAAGAGTTAATAAGATTACTGCAAGCAATGAAATCATCTTATCCTAAATATAACCTTAATTTGGGGATTTTCTTTTAAAAAAATATCTATATTCAGTACTATTTTCAATACCACAGGAAAAAATTGTCAGTGAGTGCATAAAACGAAAGTTACAATGGTAACTATGGTTCTATGAGTCCTGGATGACCGCCAGAGGCGGTGCATAAGCACAGAATAACTCCACCCGCGCTAGCGCATGTCGAGTACGAATATCAACAATGTCACCCGTGACCCCTGCGTGAACTCCGGGAGGCTATATCTTCCGGTGTCAGCAGGTGATCTGTTCCTAAAATCTGCTCGCGAGCGCGCGAGGATTCAGAGTGACCAGACACTCTGGCAGTCATCCAGGACTCATAGAACCGTAGTTACCATTGTAACTTTCGTTCTATTTCGTCCCTACTGACCGCCAGAGGCGGTGCATAAGCACTGGATGACACATACCAACAACGTCACGAAGAATCCCCCAGACCTACCTCACTGACCAGAAGTCCTGTGGCAGAGGACCACGCCCAACGGGTGGGGAGCAGCAACATTGAGGCGATAAAAGCGATGGAACATGGAAGGCGACGCCCAAGAAGCCGCAGCACAGATGTCTTCCAGTGAAACACCCCTCAGAGCAGCCCAGGACGTGGAGACCCCCCGCGTCGAATGGCACCTGACCCCGGCTGGCAACGGACGGCCAGTGACCCTGTAAGCATAGGAGATGGTATCCACAATCCAATGTGACAGGCGCTGTTTAGAGAGGGCACAACCTCTGTTATGACCCCCATAGCACACAAACAATTGGTCTGTTCGTCGCACAGGCGCAGTGACATTGAGGAAGCAGCCAGGGTCCGTACAGGACACAACAACTGTGCTCCACAGTTGGCCGACGGGGGGTCGAACCGAGCCAGATGAATCGGCCGATTGAGATGGTTGCGTGGCAGCACCTTTGGCAGGAACGCAACATTCAGCCAAAGAGTCACCCACGAACCATCCGGCCCCCAACGCAGGCAGGACTCACTGACGGAGAGAGCATGCAGCTCCCCAACCCGCTTTGCTGAAGTGACAGCAAGGAGAAAGGCTGTCTTCATTGACAACCACTTAAGATCAGCCTGGGCTAAAGGCTCAAAGGGCGAGGAAGACAGGACATCCAGCACCAGGGAGAGATCCCATGCCGGAACCCTGGGGGCCACCAGAGGCCACACCCTCAGCTCCCCCCTGAGAAAAGAAGACACCAACCGCTGGCACCCCACGGTGGCATTCTCAACCAAAACATGTCGTGATGAAATTCCCGCCACATACACCCTCAAGGTGGAAGGAGTGCGACCGTCCTCCAAGAGAGACTGGAGAAACTCCAGAATGGTGGCCACCGTACAAGAGGCGGGATCCTCCCCCCTGCCTGCACACCAGGCAGAGAACCTCCTCCACTTGCACTCATACTGGAAGCGGGTGGATGGTGCACAAGCATGCGAAATGGTGCACCTGACCGACTCAGTGCAAGCAGTCAGGAGCGGGTCGGACTCTGCAGTGGCCAGACCCAAAGCTGGAGACGGCAGGGGTCGGGGTGCCAAATCCGACCCCCCAGCAGTGACAGGAGATCCGTCCTCTGTGGGAGGCGCCATGGCGAGCCGCAGCAAAGCCTCTGCAGCAGTGGAAACCAAATCCTCCCCGGCCAGAACGGGGCCACCAGGAGGAGATGGTGGCCCTGTTGAAGGACCCGCTGCAGCGTCGGGAGGATCAGAGGCAATGGCGGAAAGGCATACAGGAGGTCGTCGGGCCACTTGTGCCCCAGGGCATCCCGTCCCAGAGGACCGTCCCCCTCTGTCCAGGAGAACCAGAGGAGACAATGAGTTGACTCCCTCAAGGCAAAAAGATCCACCTCCGCCCTGCCGAAAATGCCCCAGACCATCCCCACGACCTCCGGATGAAGCCTCCATTCCCCCGGAGGAGGCTTGTGTCGGGAAAGGAAGTCCGCCACCCGATTCTGGTCGCCGGACAGCCACACAGCCCGCAGGCTGGACAGACAGGGAGCGGCCCATGTAAACAGGCGCCGGGACACACTTAACAGTCGCACCGACTTGGTGCCCCCCTGATGGTTGATCTGGGAGACAACAGCCTTGTTGTCTGACCGGATCAGCACATGTTTCCCCTGCAGGTGCGGTAGAAAGTGCCTGAGAGCCAGATGGACGGCCAGCAGCTCCAGCACATTGATGTGGTATGCGCGGTCCTGGACAGACCACTGTCCCTGAGCCGGCCTGCCACGCCAGACCGCACCCTATCCTGAGCAGGATGCATCTGATGTGACGGTCTCCCGAAAGGATGGGATAGCACCCAGGGGCGCACCCCCCAGCAGGAACTCCCGGTCCCTCCAAGGCGCCAGGGTGCGAATACATGCCTGTGACACAGTGATCAGTCTGCGCCTGTGGAGCTTGGGGTCCAGGCGAAAACCGTTCAGCCACATTTGGAGGGGGCGCAATGACAACAGGCCAGAAGGAATGGCCGTCGACGCGGCCGTCAGCTTGCCCAGTAAAAGAAGATACATGACGAACGGCAGACGCTTGCCCCTCCTGAAGAGAAGAAGGAGTCGGAGGATGTCGTCCACACGACGCTCTGACAGGTAGGCCCTCATGACCACAGAGTCCAGGACCAGACCTAGGTAGGCGGCCCGCTGGGTGGGGACCAAACAGCTCTTCTCCACGTTGACCGTGAGGCCAAGCCGGGCCACATGTGTCAGAAGGCGGGCCGTATCCTGGACCACCTGGGCCCGGGAAGGTGCGCACACCAGCCAATCGTCCAGGTATGGCAGCACCTTCATGCCCCCAGCCTGTAATGGCGCCAGAGCCGCTGCCACGCACCGGGTAAAGACCCTGGGAGACAGGGAGAGCCCAAAGGGGAGCACCCTGAACTGATAGTGGCAGCCCTGAAAGGCAAATCGCAGGAAGGGTTGATGATGAGCCACAATGGGTACATGAAAGTACGTGTCCTTCAGGTCGATGGATGTGAACCACTCGCCTTGCCGGATCACGTGCATCACATCCGCTGAGGTCAACATATGGAACGGTAAAAACTTCAAGTACCTGTTTAGGCCGCGTAGATCCAAGATGGGATGGAGTCCGCCGTCCTTCTTGCCGACAAGGAAGTAGGTCGAGTAGAGTCCCCCGGGTTGAAGGAGGGGGTCCACCGGTGTGATGGCGCCCTTGTCCAGGAGGGTGGACAGCTCCTGGGCTAAGGCTTGGGCCTTGGCCGAGTCGTTGATGACCGTCATGGTGACCCGGCCAAAGGCTGGGGGCCGGCGTCGGAACTGCAATTTGTAACCCCGGGTCAGGGTGGCAACTACCCAGGGGTCTGGCGAGCAGGCAGCCCAGTGACTGAGCTGCTGCTGGGAAAAGCAGCCGACGACCGGCCCCGTGGCCCTAGCGCCGAGGCACCCGGCCCCTGGAGGAGCCGGAAGTGCGGCGGTCGGGCTTGGGGTCCTGAGGCTTCCGAGGTGAGCGGCGCAGAGTGGAGCAAAAGTCACCCGCTGACTTCCTCTCGTCCCGCCGCTGCCGTTGGCCACCCCGGGGAGATTGTCGTGGAGGACCCTGAGGGGCAGATGGAAAACTCCTCGAGCTGCCCCTGGAAACAGGTGCTCTCTTATGGAGGCTCGCAAGCCGCCGCCTGGTGTCGTTGGCCTCAGCGGTGCGGTCCAGTGCATCCAGAGCAGCAGAGCCAAACAGCTCCCCAGGTTCTGCTGGCACCCGGCAAAGGACCCTATGCGTCGCCTCCGTCAGAGGTGACTGTGCCAACCAGACATGACGGCGAGTGTGGACAAGCGTCGACATCAGCCGCCCCAGCTCCCTCGTCTGGTAGGCAAAAGCCTGCAGTGACGCATCACACATGTTGCGGACGGAGTCGTCCACCTGTGCATCCTGCAGGGAGGCTGAGAGGGCAAGGAGTAAGTGGGAGAGGGTGTTTCCCAAGCGGCCGACACGTGCTGCTGTGTTGTAGGCCTTGCAGATGTAATCGTCCGTAACCTTACACTGTGCAGAAGGGCACTTAGGGTCGGACTTCATCGCCTCATCCGGAGCCACAATCAAGGCCGCGATTGGAGGCTCAACCGCCGGCATGTGGAGGAGCCTCACCGACTCGGCATCCTCCATGGCAGCCAAGGCCCGATCATCCGACCCCGGCC